CTGAATCTGACTGCCAGTACAGGCGGGGACATGGGAGAATGAGGCCCTGGCAGAGAAAGAAAATGTTTTGAGATGTCAATACGCTTTGGAGGAGATGGCTCTCGAGTAGCACCTCCTGAAGGCCATTGTCCTTTCTTGCTGCAGTGCTACTACATTGGGGCCACAGATGATGCAGCCACCAAGATCATCAATGAGGTGTCGAAGCCCCTGGCCCACCACATCCCTGTGGAGAAGATCTGTGAGAAACTCAAGAAGAAGGACAGCCAGATCTGTGAGCTCAAGTACGGTGAGTGTGGCCAGGCCTTGTGCAGGCAGCACTGTAGCCCTTCTGTGCTCCGGCAGTGATGGACTTGACTTTCTGGCTGGGGAGGCACGGGGAACTAGAGCCTCTGTGAGTGTGCCACGTGGCCTGGTAGGTGGTGCCCATGGTGGGGGTGGGGGGTGGCCTCAGGGTAGAGGTCAGAATCAGCCTCTTTGAGGAGGTGACACTTCAGCAGACTCTGAAGGAGGCAGGGGGTTAGCCCAGGGCACAATCAATAGAAGAGCATTTCAAAGGCAACCCAGTGGCATGACAGGTGGGTGGTCAGGTCACAGAGGGCAGGTGAGTGAAGATTTGGCTTTTAGTCTGAGGAAAGATGGGACTGTTAGTTTTGGAGCACAGAAGGGATGTGGGTTGACTGGGGTTTAACAGGCTTGTCCTGACTAATAAGCGCTGAAGGCCCAGCGATCTTTATTTTAAGAAGAAGTGCTGCGTTCCATCAGGCAAGCCCAAGGTTATGGGCTCACGGCATCTCGCTGAATAAGTCCCTGGTGGAAAAAACACTCCAGGTCTTCAGAAAGTCAGGGGCAGGAATATTGTCCTCTTCTGTAAAATTTTAAAACGGCACCAACATATTTCATTGTGAATTGAGTGTCCAAGGGCCTGTGTTTGCCCATGTGCCTCAAGGATTCCAGGTCTTCTGAGAGTGATCCTGGTTCAGTGCTGATGGCTCAAGGTCTCTCCATGGTCACAAGTGGTTATGGAGAGTGAGCTCCTAATTCAAACGGGCCTGACCAGGGCCTGTGTTGGGAAACTGGGGCTAGGGGATCTGTCTACTCTGTCACGCTGTAGCTGTCCTACGGTGATGTGAGCTCTATTCTGACTACGGAAGAGGCATTTGGAGTGGGAGCCACATTCCTCCTATACAGTTCCTCCTGTAAGGACCTTGTGGGCTCCATCCCTGTCCCTGGTGACACTGCACGTCTGTGGTGGACGTTGCCAGCATGAAACTCACCTTCCTGGTGAAGGGGCCTTGGCCAGTTGCCCCTCTTGGGGGCAGTGGTCACTGACACATGCATGTGTCTGGAAGTGTCTCTGCCCCTATGACCAGGAGGGCTGCTTGTTTAAGGGATGGTTTGGTTGTGCAGGACTATTGGGGGTCCCAGGCTGCTCCTGCCCAGCTGGTTACTCTCCCTGCTCTCACCTCCAGACAAGCAGATCGACCTGAGCACAGTGGACCTGAAGAAGCTTCGGGTTAAAGAACTAAAGAAGATCCTGGACGACTGGGGCGAGACGTGCAAAGGCTGTGCAGAAAAGTCTGACTACATCCGGAAGATTAATGAACTGATGCCTAAATACGCCCCTAAGGCAGCCAGTTCACGGACTGATTTGTAGTCTGCCTGATCCCTGCTGCACCTGAGGGGAAAGCAGTTCATCTGTGTCTTCCCCAAACAGCCTTTTTGTAATTTATTTTTTAGGCCGGCTCCTGACAAAGTCAGGTGTGAAGCCTGGAGCTTTCCTGATGATGCTGGGTCTACAACATCCCCTTGTGGGGATTCACTTTGTTCTGTGGCCGGTTTACTCTAGGACTTCGAAGTGTGTCTGGGATTTTTTTATTAAAGGAAGAAAATTTCTAGCTGTCCTTGGAGAATTAAAGTGAATACTGAAATAGGATTTTACCCCTAATGAAGATTTCACCGGTTTATGCTTTCCGGTTTACAGAGTTTTCAGGTATATTCACATTTGTCCCTCAGCCACCAGCCAGTACTGGAGATACCAGGGCAGGACAGGGGGACCAAGGCCTGCGGGGTTGTACAGGACTGGAGCAGGTCCTGGGGAGCAGGCTGGGCTTGATAACCCTAACCCTGCACGGACTATCTTACCCACATGAGAAAGGCTGACATCAGGGCTTGGTGTGAACCCTTGTGGAGGGGATGTGTAGTGTGGTTTTTCTGCAGTGATGTTTTCAATAACTGCAAATGTTCAGTACTGTCACATTTCTAAAGATGCTCTTGGCCTGGCTACCTCCACCAATCACTGTCCAGATCTTGCCATCTACTTGCTCATTTGGGTTTGTGGTCTAGTGTCAGTCCCAAGCCTCTGATGCCTAATTGGGATTTTGCAAGACTGGAAGGAGTTGGTTTGTACAACAAGCTGAGGAGAGGATGCCTTTTGCCTTTGTTTACCCAAGAGAAGTCTTAACAGTTGAGGTCCTGAGAGCTTGTACGCAGAGTGTCCCTAGTGTCTGATTTCTAAGTTGCTCTCTTTGGGGTTGGTGCTTGGGAAACCCAGTTGCCTGCGTGAGCTATGACTCCACAGAGACACTTCTGCTCCTCATACCTGCAGAGACCACCTGAAGGGAAGGACTAAGAAGCAGCACTTTCCAAGGAATTGCTTTGACCTCAGGTCACATCCTTTGTGCAGCGGATCCATTTGCCTATTGAAAGGGACTTCAGCCTGCTGTAAAGTCCACTAATGCTTGGCAGCAGCAAGCCCACATATTTCACCTCCACCGCACCATGTCTGAGGAAAGCGAGAAGGTGGAGCTGCTTCTCAGGCCAGGCCTTCCCTGTTAGGGGAATTAGAAGGGCTGTTAAGATTTAACAAGCATAGTATCCTGAGCCCCTGAAAGTGCTGGAGCCAGAAGTCTTAGAAGATGGAGCTGTCTCCCCTTACCACCCTAGGTCTGTGTTTCTGTGGCCCCCATGTCCTCCAGGCCACACTGAACAGGGAAAACAACCCAACTACTACCACCCTAGGGCTGATAGCCAAGGTTATCTCTGCAGGGCTTAACTCCTTTCTGGAATATTTCCCGAGGCACGAAGTGTTACAGGTGTTACTTATGTTTCCTCTTGCACGTGCCTTAGTCATCAACAGGAGCTGCTTTCTGGTTGTGGGAGGAGGGAAGGGCTGTGGTGCTCTCTCCACTCCACACTTTCTGTGGCTGAAGTTGGGTCAAGTTCTGCTGCGAAGCCGCCACCAACTCTCCCTGGAGAATGAAAGCTTCCCCAAGGGGCTTGGACACGTGGGCAAGACTCCCGTCACCTTACCACCGGGAGAGGTAAGTGTTGCAAACCGAGTAACCACTGGGTTTGACCTCTTTGCCCGTGGCTCGGATGCCCAGAGCAGAGGGCAGGGCCCCGAGGCACCAAGGAGCCCGTTCCCACTCCAGGAACTGCAGGTTTACGATTCCGGGTTTCTGTGCCTGGGCCTAGATGGGCCTCTCCTTCCTGCATGCATAGCCAGAGTCCTCATGGCCTTTCTGGGGACCAATGCCGGTGAACCTGAATGCAGGGGGTCGGCGTGCGTCCTAGGGAGTGCCGTGTTTTGGTCCTCGCATTTGTCAAGCCCCGAGCCGAGTTAGGAGATGCCGTGGCAGGGTATGGGGGTCACCCAAGCCTAGTGCTGGAATTGAGGGGAGCACTATGTAAAGAGGGCGCTGGGTCAAGGCCTAGTACCCCCCCACGCCTACAGAGGCTGCCACTCCTTCACCCATCAGTGCGGGAGCCAGAGGCCGGGGTCTCGCAACCTGCTGAGGTCGGGGACCGCAAAAGCCAGCTCTCGAGGGCGCGGAGCTCTCGGCCGAGAGGTGGCGCCAGAGCTCACTGCGCGGCCGCGCTCGACCATTTGCCGCTGGGTCACGCGGCAGGGGGGCGGCGCAGCCGGATGACGCACGCACGCCGGAG